TTATAATATAATTATATTATATTTATCTATTTGACGACACGATTCAAATACAAAGAAAGTGTTTTATAAATTAAATTCATATGAATTTGGAAGAAATGGTCATTAGTAATTATAATTATTATTTTAATTTGCTAATTTTTAAATTACTTTAATAATACAGTTTGAGTAACATATATGACAATATATATTATGCGATTTAAGTAATGTAACATATGTGACATAGTATGTAACATAGTAATCTGCTGTTTTTTTTCTTCCAGCTTGTAGTCTGGCTTAGGGAAAAATAATTTGTCTTGCACAATTAGCATCAATTCACATTGGTGCAAATTAGCCCCTGTAATGGATAACATTTTTTCGTTCGTTATTCGTCATTTTACCTGAAGTCTTTCTCAACTTTGTTCAAATTGCATGCAACTTCTTACACGAAACCGACTACAAGAGTTATAATAAATTCTTTAACATGTAATACCGGATTGCATGTTGCACAAAAAAAAACTGGGTTTTATATATATAAACAAATAATTCGGTTTGTCTTGAGGGAAATTATTGGTAGTTGATAGGCCCATTTATCGCGCGAATCATAAATTGTAGACGACAAGGTCGATTACTTCGCGCAATTGCACATAATTGTTCTTACACTTGACGAATTCTTTTATGAAAGGATGAATTCTTAAATTATGCCATCAAATAACGATTTGCTCTACTGATTCCTATTACCGTAACAGTCAGTTTCCAACTGACTATTAATTAATAGTCTACCCGACTATTAATAGCGTTTGGCAGAGAAAGTGTCTATTTACATACAGATGTTCGCAACAGAGAATGAAAAATTTTTTAATAGCTCATTTCTATAAATTTAATTTGGAGTTATGTAAAAATTATAGAATTATAAAATTGTGTTGTATACTTTTATACATGTATATGTATATATTTATATTTATATAGTTTATATAGTTATATATTTATATATTTTTATATATTTATATAGTTATTTAAGAATATTAAACTTTTATATAAGTTTAATATTGCATGTGATAAATGCGGGAAATGTGTACAACGATATATTTAAGTTATTTAAAAAATTCGCCTTCATAGTGATTCAAACTAGTTTGTAGGTGGAGGAAGTTTTTAATACTTTTAGAGAATGCGATCAAATTGCTCTTTGTGCAAAAGCTTTTACATCTCTCTCGCTTTACTTCTGTGAATGTTTGGCAAGAAATTTCAGAGATGCTTTTTCGAAGAAGCTTTACGGTTTTTATCTTCTTATTTCTTCTCTTCTTTTTGAGATTCTATTTCAAATCTACCAAGTTTGCCAATTGCGGTAATAACATATAATTTATATCTTTCAGATCATTATATGATCTGGCAAATTTAGATTCGAATATAAAATAAACATAGAAATTACTTGGATTAATAAACATACGCAATTACAAGAGATTACAAGAGATCAGCTAATATATTTATTGTTTATAATCCAAGAAAAAAATGCTCATTAAAGATGAGCTGTTGGATGAAACACACCCAAAACTGTCTGCGGTTCGTACGTCATTTCTTGTTGGGATTTACAGACATGCCATAGTAAATTGTCTAAATATTTTGGCTACTGCAGGCTTCATCAAAACTGCTCTGTGCAGTCGACTGCGTCGTTCCGTTTCGTTCCGTTCAACATTCGCTGAAAATCGTTGATCACTGTCAAGCTCATCTAATCTCACATATTCATTGGTTCCCTTCAAATGTCAAATTACGGCAGCAAAGATAATTGCGAGGCTCTCCGCCGACCCAGCCTCTCCATAAAAATGCAACGTAGCTTGAAGAAAATGAGAAAAAGCATCCAAAAAATTACTGGTAACGATATCCGATTTGATCGTTGTAGACTAGAACTTTCTCCTAATCTAGTTTTTGTAACACTTATAGAAATCGCCAATTAATTAGCCAAATCGCTCGATTAAATTAAATAATAAAAACGTAATATATACAATTAAGTAATTGAATACAATCATATATGATTTTTAGTAATAAAATTAATAATTATCTGTTTTAAATAATTTTGTGATAGCTGTTAAATAAATACTTAATTTAATTAAATGATTAATAACAATTATAATTTGCTAAAAATTTTGAAGTATAAAAAGAAAAAGAAGATACAAAAAGTTAAAGTAAATATTCGCAATTTTTTAGTGATAATAACGCATACTTAGTAATTTGACATTGTAAAAATAGAAAGAACTCTTTAAAGTGCGCAACTAATTAATTTAATCTTATTACAATTATAATTTATATTCAAAAGATATATAATTGTGAAGAATTTGATAGTTACAGAATGAATTTCAAATTTCTAAGATTAATCCGAGCGAAAAATCAGAATGTAAATATATATAATAATCTGCAATACACTGTAACTAGATTACATTTTTGTAGAGAACATCCAGGAAGATGATAAGCATTCATTGTACATGTTTCCTGAGCAACTGTTCACTCTGACTTGGCGCACCGGGTTTTCTAAGGATGAAATTCGTAAATTGTATCGCGCCTTCAAGCAGCTATGTCCTAGAGGATGCGCAACTTTCAGCGACCTGAAACCCGCGTATGCCAAACTATTTCCGCTTGGTGATTCGACCAGATACGCACAGATCATGTTCAACAACATCGACAGAAATGGCGATGGCATCGTCAATTTCAATGATCTTCTCAAAGTTCTGACATCGATTATTAATGGCAACGTGGACCAGAAGCTTTCCTGGATATTTGAGTGAGAGCTCTCATCTCATTTTCAATGTTTCTATTAATAGTTATTTTTCTGATAAATTCGAAAAAAATTGTAAATAATATTTTATGAGAAATTTAATTATAATTTATAAAGGGTTATTCAATGGGGATTGGAAGATATAATAATATTTATTATTATATTTTGAATTGAATAACCCTTTATAAATTATAATTAAATTAGAAGAATTTTAAATTAATTTTAAAAAAGATTTTTTTGGTTAAATTTAAAAGCAATTCATTTTTTGTCTAATTGATGATCTCGAACATAGCCAAAGCAACACACGCGAAATAATCTCTTCGGACTTATTGCTTTTCAGATTTTATGATTTAAACGGCGACGGTTGCATCACAAGACAGGAGATGCTGACTATAGTATCCGCGATTTATGAGATGATGCAAAACGCGCAAACTATCCAGTCCATAGTTAACCAGCAGGTAGACAAATTCTTTGAGAAGATGGATGCGAATAGAGACGGTATAATCTCCAGAGAAGAATTTATGAACGGCTGTAAAAATGTATGGAATCCTCTAGTATGTGTAAAAATAATATTGTTCATATTTAACACTAGAAGAATCCTATTTAATGATGAAATGTTTTATTAGATTTTTCTAAAACAAAAGAGTTATACATTTTATTAATATCGACAT